ATAAGACAATTTATTAAAAATACAGAAATGAAATGAGCATCAAACTCAAAGTACTAAAAGCATTGATTTCTTTCACATATTTAATGAAAAGAGAACCGAAAACTGCTCAAAAAAGAATCTGCAATATACTAAAAAATTCTGGTGAAGCATATTTTGTCCTTAAAACAGCAACTTTGCATTGAAAACACAGGGAAGGACACAATTATCAACTTTTATTTCTTATATTAATCCAACATGAAATCAGATCAGATCAATTCAACAAGTCTTGTCGAAATAGTCCCTTCGAATACACCATAATCTTGAATCACACCGAGGAATGCTAATACAACTTTTATCATGGATTCGTCCTGAATTTTCACAAATTAAAATAGGTTAAAGATGTCCTAAAAGCTCAGTTAAGAGCAAATCAAGTTACCACTGTGGAAAAGAGAATCCTGAATGAAAAGCAACTCTTAGGGAAAAAAATCTCTAACACAGAAATGAAGAGTCCTCTGTGGATAAAACTGAGATCTATAAAAATGTGAAGAGAGTAGAATGGAAGAGGTAGGAAATAATGTCATAAAGTAAAATGTCAGTGAACACAAGGGGTTGAGATATAGCAGTTTCAGCTCATCTAACAGCAAACAAGAATAGTGCCTAAAAATGGACTTTGTCAGACCCATTCCCACTTCCCACCATGGCTATGTGTTACCAGTCAGGGAATCTCCTCCATACTTTTACAATAAAATACAAAATAAACACTGAATGAAAATTTGTTTTATGAAAATTTCTTATTTTAATAAGACTATATTCAACAATGAATAAACACTTGGCTCGATGAAGATAGTTATTGTTAAAATTACATTAATCTAGCTCTTCCATCATATCTATCAGATGTAACAATGAAGAAAGAAAAAAATTCAAGATGGCAGAGGACAGTCTCTCTGAAGAATAAATCTAGGTTAAACTTTAAAATCTTTTACTTATATTTTAGAAATAGTACAAAAGCAAGCTTAGCCAATTAAAAATGTAATGCACATATCATAGTTCATTCGGCTAGTTGTGTTGTGTATAAGATTCAAAAACATATCTTAATACTAATAGTTTTAAGATATTAAAAACAAGATAAACTGTTTTTCTAACTAGAACAGTTCATAAAGTAAATTACATAGTGCATATACTTTAGTATAACCCAAACATATACTTGTTTTGCTAATTAGAACATGTTGATTCCTTAAAATTTGATCCATTACAATCAATCTATTGTTAAAGAAGGAAGAGAAGGAGGGAAGGAGGAGAGGAAAGAAAAGACTGAAAGACGGAGGAAGAGGGGAAAAGAAAATAAAAATTAAATTATTTCTCAGAAAGTATGATTTTCAATAATGTGTCAGCAATTTTTGTAACTTTCTTTAAAAGTAGAAACTTTTAAGAGACTTAGTCTATTGAGTGTAGAAATCTTAAGATCACTCTGCTTAGTTAAGTTACACCTAGAACATCAACTGCACTTCCTCCTCCTCCTTCCCAGATACCTTTTATCCCTTTCTCTTTCTCTCTCTCTCTCTCTCTCTCTCTCTCTCTCTTAATCTCTGTTTCCTCTCTCTCACCCCCTCCCTCCTTCTTTCCTCCCTCCCTCCCTTCCTCTCTCTCTCCAGACATACACAATGTATTTAATTCAAGTATTAGTCTAAAATAAGGTAGTCCAAAAGGAACAATGTCTTGAGAACAATAAATGGTAGAAAGAATGAAAATATATTGTAAGTTAAATAACTCAAAGAGCCGTATCATTTATTGACTACAATACCAAAACCATTTTTATTCCAGATAAGCCAATTTTGTCAGGTCTAGACAGGTGTGCCTCCAAAATCTCATAGTTCACTCTCCCAGTGACACAAGGGAGAATGAGAGAAGGAAAAAATCCCAGTCTTAAATCTCAATGTCTAAAAAATTATTTCTAGGTATTTCAAAGGTTTTAAGTATCATTGTCCATCTCTACAGACACCAGTCAGATAAAACATCTCACTGATCATAAGTTTCCTCAATGTATCTTCCAAATCCACAGGTAGAAGGATTAAACATCGTGCAGAGCCAGGCCGCACTTTAACCTTCACCTTGAACTTTAGTTTCAGATTCTAACAACTCACATAACTCGTCAACATTTGGATCTATGCTAGCCCAGTATAGTAGAGTTCAAGGGTGTTCATATAAATTTGGTTCAGAACTCTTAAGAAAACTCTTTATAGTTCATTTGTCTTCTATACCATGTCAAAACAAACAAACAAAAACTAATTTCACTAGGATCCTTGGGAACAGAGTTAATCTGGGATAGATATAAGCTAAAGTGAATCCCTAACATCTGAGCTATAATAAACTATATGTCATGATCAAAACCACTGGATCTTGATCAATTCTAGGGAAGGGCCATGGTGGGAGGTCAGGTGTTGCCACATTTGGGGAACTGGCCAATCATGTTATTGGATATTGCCTACATCTGAAAAAGCACAGTTACCAAAGTTGTGCTTTATCACAAAAGTGAAGATTTGCACTAGAGTTAACCCAAATATGAAATCTATTTTTCAACCAAATGATAAATAATAAATCTATAATTTTGTTCAGTGAAAACAATTTTGCTCTTTTACAACTATGTAATTCACTTAATAAATATTAAAATCATGAGGAAGAACACTGAACAGTTAGTTTCTTTCTTAAAGATTATTTAAAAGTGACCATTAATAAGCTAAGAAAACAAGCTAAAGAATATTCCAAATCTATGATACCAAATGTACACTGATTATAAGTGGTGATTTAGATAATCTGATTTATGAAATCACCAACGTCTATAATTAAATACTATAGTTCTTCATTTCACTTTAGCAAAATAATATTACTGAGTGATGTGTCAAAGACATTACAATAAATACTTCGCCAAATCCAAGCAAAATTTTACTCTTAAATGGAATATAATTTAAATTGCAAATACCATAACAAATAAAAAAGAAAAACATATATTATATAGGAAGCCTCATAGCCCACCTTTCCTCTTGACTGGCATTCTTGGGTCTTTCCACTGCCACAGGATTCAAGATCTCTTTTCAGGTTTCAGCTTGATCCAACTGGATATTGATGCTAAGAGTCAGGTAACTGTTGCAAACCACTTCACCTGCTTAGTTTTGAAATTCAGGCTGTCTTCTCTTTCGATAAAGAAAAAATAATGTAATTTTCCACAATTAAACTTTTGACACTGCCCACAGAGTTTAGAGAAAAATAATTTTTCAGTCTTTCAAGTTATCCAATTTTTATAAAATGTTTTTTAAAAAGCCGATAAAATTATTGTAAATATAGAAAACGTTATTAAAACTGCTCTTCAAGCAGCAACATTTTTGGAGTTCAATGTCTAACTCAATTAAGGCACAAACCAAATTTACACAGTTGTTTCATTACTCAATACATGTTCAAATTCAAAGATGAACTGGTTGATGCTAAAGAGTCTCAATTTTTTTAGAGAAAAATTTAGATTTCCCCCTCAAAAAAAAAACTCTTAAAAACCTCTTTGACTCTGGTCTCTAAAAAGGTGGATGAGTTTGAACAGTTTTCTGGGGCAGAACACAGACTGAAAGGCCCCTTTCTATTTACTGGACTAGAAGTTCCAGATCTCACCCCTCAGTAAGATGGGATCCAGCTTGCTGTCACTTTCATTTTTTTTCTTCTGTGCTCTCCAAGCCCCTCAGGCTTGATCCTTAATGCCCCTCTGATTCTGATCCTCCCATGTATTAACCGAGAGGATTGAAAAGAAGGAAAGCAATCCCTTGGCATGGAGACATTAAAGTGACAGTGCTACTCAATGGGCACTTGATGCAGGATGAGTTGGCGAAGCAGATTTCTTCACACTGGAGTCATTCACATCATGCCATCTCTTCGCATCCAAACAGCTGCCTATCCAGCGAGGAAAAACACTGAGACTGTTCCAGAGAAGTCAAACCTTCCCGCAAAGGTGTTTTCTGAAACGCTGTAGTAGTATTAGGCATGTGAGCACAAGCTGTGCAAAGGGTTTGCGATTTCCTAAAAGAAAGAGTTCGGCTGCTTGGCTTCCACATTCACCCTTTCTCTCAATCTGTCTCCAAACTACCCACCTTCCTTTTGCAGAAAAGACAGGAAATCTCTGCTACCGGTGGCCACCCCTGCCTACACCCCGTTCTTATACAGAAGAGCATAGAAATGTCCTGCACCCTCCACGCGATGAAGTGTTTCCTCAGGCAGGAAAAACAGCAGCACTAGAAATTATATAACTCTCGAATTTGGCTTCTCTAAGACATGGAGACTGGAGGGTCGAGGGTTGCTGGTTGGGAGAGACTGCTGGGCACGGAACGTGCAAAGACGGGCTCTGGGCCTCCTCTCTGCGCCACCTCCCCCCGCCCCGTCCCCACCCCGAAACTCTAGCTGGCAAGGAGGTCTTCTCAGGAATTGGGGGCCAAATTTCTCTCCGGTCCCTTTCTAAGTGGAGTGAAAGGATGGAATAAGAGGGCACTAAAGATTGGGGAGAAGAGTCAGACGGCTAAGAGAGGCCAGTTGGGGCTGCCCTGGCGGCGGGGTGGGGACTTAGGGAAGGAGGTGCTGGGGAAGCCAGAGCCTTAACACACGGGCCAAACCAGAAGGGCGAGCTCCCTAAAGGAGTGAAGGGGGCGGGCAGCTTGGACCAAGCTAACATATATGCCCTGAAGACAGGGAAGCGCGCAGCAACATCCCTGAACTCGGACCGCCCCACGTCTCCCTCTGGGTGAGAGAAGAGGGAGCGAGGTTAACAAATAGCATGTAGAGTGGGCAGGGTGGCGGGCCTACAGGCGTCTCTAGACCTCCTCGAAGCCAATGAGCGGCCGTAATTTCAGGACGCCGTGCCCAATCACAGCCAGGATAGAGGGCGCGGCTTTTGACTGGGTCGGGGAGGGCCGGGACTGCAGGAGAGAGGCGTGAGCAGGCACCACTTCCCACCCCGGGCGTTCTGGGTTCCCGCCCACCCGCTAGTCACGTGAGCCGTCAAGATGGCGGCGCTCGGGCGTGATGCTGGTCCTGACGTGAGGCATGGAGGTGGAGGTGTGGTGCCGCTGGGTGCTGGGGAAGTGCCCAAGGTAGGCGGAAACCCGGGGTGGTATGGGCCTTGATTTCTGCAGTCTCCTAGTGTTAACGGACTCTTCTGAAATGATCTATATAGAAGGGATTTAAAGAGAACAACCCCCAAGTCCATGCAGTATTCAGTCAATTAAGTCCCCAGTTGCTTTGGAAGGAGGCGGAGAGAAAGTAGGAAACCTAAAATCTCGTCTTGATTACTCGCCGCTTGTTTTCTCTTGCTTCTGGGTCTTTGCACTGGCCTTTTTTTCAACTCGAAGTGCCTTCCTATACCTCTCCTCCCCACCCAACTCCTAGCAAATTCTCTTCTTTCAGATATTTGTGAAATGTCACTTCCTCCGGGAAACCGTCCCACACTTCCCCAGGTTAGATTAAGTTTGGCTTTTCTTATATTTTTTGTTTTGTTTTGTTGGCTTTTCTTATATTTTTTGTTTTGTTTTGTTTTGTTTTGTGGCATACACATTCCGCGTTTAAATTTCCTCCCTGCCTTTTTGCCCTGACCTCCTCCGCTGGGTTGTGTGTTCCTGAGGGCATGACTACATCTTGATGATCCCGCAAGGGCTGTCAAATGATGAATTAATGTTGAATAAACTTATGAAGATTAGGTGAAATGATAGGCATAAAAGCAGTACAAAAAGTAAAACATTTTGCAAACTATAAACTAAACTAAATACGGTCTTTCTGGTATAATGGTGACCAGTTGAGTGGCCTTGGACTAATCCGTAGATGAAGTATTGGTTATAGGAAAATCTTTACATTTCACGACTTGTTAAAAGTCTATCAGAAAATTACCCATCCATTTTTCTGCTTTAATAACAGTACCTTCTAAAGACTAGGCACTCAGTAAATATTTGCTGTCGTATTTGAGTGTTCTAGGATCACAATCCTTGTTTCCCTATATACTTAGAATGTAGACAAGGTAGGAGATTGATACAGATCATTGCCTGAAAGTTTTCTTTGTGAAGAGTAAGGGACTTTGATGAATTGGATGATAGCAAAACAAAAATCCAAGATTTCTTGTTAGTTATCATGTTACTGACATCTGCCTTCATATAACATAGAGCCTCCCCCAGATATTGTTATCTCTTCTTTTCCATTTACTGTTAGATATCACAGGCAAAAGATTAAATCTAGTCCCTGAGAAATTATAAATTGTAAAAAAAAAAAAAAAAAAAAAAAAAATTTCCCTGGCTTCCCATGTATTTTAAAGAAAAATGTAGAACTAGATTGAGTACAGCCTGAAATGATGCAGGGAGAAAAACTAATCTCTTATTAATCACTGTGCAATACCATATGAAGGTTCAAAGGAGCCCATGTCTTCAGGATGTAGATACCATGAACGAATTGGCCTTTCACTAGTTAGGGTTAGGATTAGAACATATCACTTATTCAGCAAATGAGTATTACAGTGATGTTCAACATATGTCCATTGACTGCTGGCATCAGAATCACTTGATGCTATTAAAATGCAGAATTCTAAGTTTCACCCTACTCCTGTTGAATCCAGATATCTCAGGAGGGAACCCAAGAGAGCACATTTCAAATAAATTCTCCATATGATTCTTGTGCACACTAAAGGTTGAGAATTACTGATTTAAGTATCTTCTGTGTTCATTATGCTTAGTCCACTGTAATTCTCTTGCCCAGGACTCCTGAAATTTGAAATTTAGTCTATGCCCCTGACAAAATTTAATGTTGTTAAAATGGAGGGCCATAGATTTTTGGCTGCTCTGGAATCCCATAATGCTAATGTGGCAAAAGATTTTACAAATGTTATTAAGACTTTTCACAGAGATCTGAAAGTCTTGTCCAGAGCAAAACATTCAGAAAGGCTCTTTTCTGAGATCCAGGGGGTTTACTTTGTTTTACTACTGGTTTCTGTGAAGATGGTACTAGCCAAATCCTCATGGTCCCTTGACATTGGCAACTGTCTTCATACATTACGCTTGGGATACTGCAGCCTTCCAACTCTGGAATCCAGTGCCATGAGTCCCTACTCACTGGTATACCACATAGCAATTCCCATGAAAGGCCCTGCTTCGGCCCCAAGTAATAATAGAGAGCTGGGTATATAATTTACATAATCCAAGGTAGCCATGATCCACTGCTTCTTCCTAGCCTGAAACAGTGTCTCTCTTACTGATGTTCTCTTTCC